CCTGTTCACCTAGCTTTTCTGCAGAAAAGACATCAGTGATCTTATGAAGAGCGGGGCCCTGTACACGCTCCTGGACATGAAACTGAACAGATTACGACTGGAAAGTGTCGTTTGCTCTTGGAAATTATTAAGGCATAAGTAAGATCTTCCATAGTCTCAAACTAAAATAAGCAATACCAGGATGGTTCCACCAGGCTAATTACTGTTTGAAATAAACCAGGATGAATAGGAAACACGGAGTGAAAATGGTATGTTTCTGTATGTGAGCATGTTTTATGTGCGGAGCACAGGTGTGAGAAGGGCAGAGGTCAGGGCCGGGTGTCTTTGTCAGCTGCTCTGCATCTTGGTTTCTGAGGCAAAGTTTCTCCGTGAACCTGGAACTTGCTGATTGGCTAGGCTGGCTGGCCAGTGAGCCCCAAGGATCCTCTGGTCTCTGCCTCACCAACTTCATCAGAATCAACTCGAAGAGAGGGCCCTGGGATTCAGACACAAGGTAGACTCCCCTGAGAATGCAGTCATAAAGGCAGATGTATGTCACCCCAGTATGAACTTCTGGGTCACAGTGCCCCAGCCTTGGCGTCTCAGCAGTGGCCTCTGTGGTTGGTGGTGATCTGGGATTCTGCCTGTACTATAGAGTCTCAGAGGAGTTGTCACAGTCTCCTGAAGAAGGACCTTTTCATGACTGGAGACCATTTGTTTGAAATCTTACTAGTCAGACCTGCTGAAATCTAGCACATACAGAATCTCTCCTTGACACCAGAGTGGCTCTTGACGGGAGGTGACAAATTTTTGCAGTTGGATTTAAGGCTTTTTACCAGGAGTAGCATGTGCTGTTTGGTTGACTGGAAGGAAAGGCTAGAAGGTGGGAGAAGGCAGAGCAGGAGGGAGAACGGGAGGGGACGTGTGCTATGTGGTGTCACGTGCGTTGTCCTGTCCCGTCATGCTGTTTACAGAGTAAGAGTCTCTTCATAATTTATAGCGTTTTATCTAGGTCCTGAGAGAGCTTTTGAGACGAGCCACCTTGCTTGTACAACACAAGGAAGATGCCAAAATATGGGCCGGTCGGATCTGTTAGGGCGATAACCCCAGTGTGTAGTTCCCGCTTTCTCTGGTCTTGGTTTGCTGGCTTGAAGAGTGGGCCAGAGCTGTTCCTGGGAGGACTTGACCTCAGAGGGGAGTCGTGGCTTCACCAGTTCACTGTAGTGAGCCCGCCAGCCCTTCCATGGCACTCCGCATTGACTGTAAGAATGGATCTTTGCGCCTTGCTTCTCCAAAGCTCCCCCTCCCCTTACAGCCCTGTTCCCACCAGTTTCCTGCATCTAGCTGTCCCGGATGAAGTCTCCTGGGCTTGGCTGCCCAGCGTGCCCAATAGAAGCTACTCTCCTGCCTCAAACATTTCACTAGCCTTTTGCACTTACAGTAAAAGGCGGGCTCCTCCCCATGGCTGGCGGATCCTGGATCTCATCTCTTGCAGCTTCCTGTCTTGATTCCTCCCATCCACTCCAGCTGTTATCTGCCTCAACAGTGGCCAGTGAACACTTACTTACCTTTTCCAGGAAGCTCTTAGAATTCATGCCTGGAAAATACTCTCCGAACTTAATAGCCCAATGAAATCATCGTCAATAATAATACTTGGTGCCAATTACTGAGGTTTTCTGTAGCCCAAATACTGTTCTAAGTGCTCTCCCGACATGCTGTATCATGAACTTAGAATCAATGAGCTTGTGAAATTGGTATTCTGAACTTACTTTTTTTGGATAGGAAATGTGGCATAAAGCAGTAGAGTGTCCTTGCTTTGTGCTGTTAGTATGTCGTAGAGCTTGGCTTGAGAATCTGCCTGAGTTTAGACCTGCTCTCTGATACTAAAGTTTCAGAAGTGTTTTATTTTTTTTTCCATTAAATTGCAGTGATTTCCCAGTGGACACTCCCAGAGCACACTGCAAAGTGAACCTGAAAATCAAAGTAAACATTAACGTGACCTCATTACCTTCCGAGCAGGAAACCCTTCTCACATTTTCTAGCTTATTGATAAGGCATTATTATCAAACTTGCACATAAATTCTAAAATCAGACAGGGTTTCATCTCAGCCATTCATATAGGCCCCATTAGCATGTGGGAGGTAACGAACGTCCTGGGCATTGAGATCCCCCATGGCAGTCTGGTGGGACAGTTTAGAACTTGGAGGCTCATTGTAGCATTATTATTCTTATATCAAATTCCAAATAGGTGTGAACCATCCTGGACCCCTCTTGAATACAGTGTCGTGATGTGTCCCCTGAGTACAGTCGTATAGACAGGCTCCAGAGTACCTCTGCCTTGCTCTTTCCTTTCTCTTTGTCTTCCAGCTAAAGCAAAACATTAAATTTTTATTACCATACAATCAACTCAGGGACTTTGTATTTTAATACAGATTGTAAAGTAAGTAACTTGCATCGTAGAAGTGTCTTGTGGGGAAGCGTGGAGAATAAGAACACACTGTAGTATCGAACAGGTGGCCATTGAGATGGGTCTCACTGAGATCAAGGCTTGAAGGGAGTGGGGCCTAGTGTTGTGCCCTTGTGGCCTCCCAGTGTGGGGATGCAGAGACAGGAGGACCCCTGGTGCTCAGTGGTCAGGCAGGTTAGTCTCTGTGGTGCACTCCTGGCCTGTGAGAAACCCCATCTTTTAAAAAAGGTGGATGGTGCCTTAGGAATGACACCCACAAATATCATTTGGCCTCTGCAGGCATGCACACGCATGTGCACTGATGTGCCTGCATCGGCATGTGAACATGCATCAGGACACAAGTAAACATCCTCCCCTGGCCTTCGCAGACTTAAAGGAAGTGCGAGGTTAGCCAGATGACTCTCGAGGGAAAAGCAAGACAAGCCCAGGCAGTAGCCAGCACCCAGGTCTGAGCCATGCGTTCCCAGTTAAAAGCAAAAAGTGTCATTGTGGATGGAAGGGTCTAAGAGAGAGTCGGAGACCAGGTGAGGTCAGAGAGGTTCGAGTATTTTGCTGGAGACAGTGGAAGTGAACTGACATTCTCTCAAGTACTCACAGAATCCACTCCAGAGTCACAAAGGCTCCCCTACCTCTTCCAGACACATCTGCTGGAAACTATGATATGCGTTACAGAATGCTCTCTGGAGAGTGCCCAGGTGTCATGCAGTCTCAAGCCTGTGCTAATCCGCTTTCTGCTGCTGTGATGAAATTCCTGCGGAGAGCAGCTTTGTTTTGGTTGCAGTTTCAGAAGTTTCAGTCTGCTCCATCACTTGTGTCCTGTGGTAAAATGGAGCACTGTGGGAAGGAGACATGACAGAGCCAAGCTCCTCACCTCAGGGTCCCAGGGTGTGGGGACAAAATGCATCCATTGCTGCCCACCCCCACCCCTCCAGTCATGCAGTTCTTTCAGGTAGGTAGCACCCTTCCGTCTCCTAATGGCTCAGTAGTAGATCAATGGATTAGTGAAGTCCAAGCCCTCACGGTTGGCCTCTGCCTTTGAACACTGCTCCATTGGTGACCAAGCTTTCAACATGTGGGTCTTTCAGGGGCCTTGAAGAAATAAAAAAAATTACAAGAGTTACCTTTCATTGGTCAAGATCACGTTCCTAGGGTAAGTGATAGGGAGCTGAGCCATTGTCATAACAACACAAAGTTCCAAGGTTACAGCAGTAAGACTGTGACCAGACTGGGGCGGGGGGCACAGTGCCCAGTGATAAACTTTGAGACATAGGTCTACTGTCAGCAGACTGGCAAGAGATGAATTGGCATGCTTTTCTTAGGGTGCTTTGTGTAGCAACCTAATTAGACATCTGTGACTCTAACCTTGTGCATAGCTGTAAAGTTGTAACTTATGATCCATTTGTAAAACACCTTTAGTCTAGTTTGGACTTGCTTTGAGGTGAAAGTGAGCTAATCGTGTGCAGTTATTCTGAGCAAAAGGACAAAGCAGGCTTTTTAGTGTCTACAGTCCCTATGGGAATCTAGTTATGAAGCATGTATTCTATATATCAAAATTATATAGCTAAATGAAATGAATATATATATATATATGTGCCCATAAGATTGAGATGCAATCATGAGATTACATATACATATCACATGAGATTACACACTACAGTGCAGGTATTGGGGAAACATCAAGCTATGTTAGCAAATGTGAGTGACAGTTTCCAGAGTCAATGGTCCTGCAGGCCTTGTCTGGACAGGACTGACCTCCATCAGAGAGTCACTCCTCTGGTGGGCTGACCTCTGAATTATTAGTTGCCATACGCTGTATATTTACATGGCCTCTGATGCAAGTGAACATGAAGACGCTAGTAACTTGCCTATGTTCATCATTACTTGTATTGAAACTAGGAATTAGACGTGCCTGGCTCCAGAGGCCATTTGCTTTAGTGCTCAGCACATGATGTTGTGCCTCTAACGTCCTCCCTGTATATATACTGTGTGGGAGTCATACTCCATGTCAAATGTTAGCTTATGTACGTGTGCCTTTTGCTCTGTCTACGAACGCCTTTGTTAAATTAATCAAATTTGTTCTTCGACAATTTCGTTGATGGATTCTGATTATCTTTACCCCATCCTTCTCTGACCTTTTTCTTTACCTTGTCCTACCCCAGGCTCTTCCTCAAATTCATGTCTTTTTGTTTTGTGACCCAGTGAGTTTAACCAGGGCTGTCTGTGTGGCCTTGGGTTTGGAACTGTGTGGTGGAGCCTGGTGGCTTTACCGGTGGGGACACAGCTGAAGACAATGATTCTCTGGCTTGCGGAGTCCATCAGTAGCCAGCTCTACCTGTAAATTTTTGAGAACCATGGGAAACTCACTTTTACTTTCTGGTACATTCTGTACATTCCCTTGATTGGCCTGTGATGGGAGTGAAATATTCTCTCTCGCAATTTGTAATATGTTAGCCGCAGTGTTCAGAATTCTAATGTGCGTGGATCATTGGTTCCGGATGGAATTTGGTTTTGGGTTTGATTTTCATTCTGTCCCTGTGTTGTGCTTTGTCCCCAGACCAGTATTAAAGAAGGACAACTGCTGAAACAAACCAGCTCTTTCCAAAGGTGGAAAAAGAGATACTTCAAGCTTCGAGGCCGTACACTTTATTATGCAAAAGACTCAAAGGTAACTCAACAAGACTGCTCCCAAGCACTGTGTGTCGTACGTGAGTAGATCGAAACCTTTGATCGTACAAACTATGTTTGTCCTAGAGCCTCATTATGGCTTAGTAGTTCTCCTCTTACTTTATTATAGATGTGGTCATCTTGCACTCCGCCTCAAGGGGGAGCTATCAAGTCATATGGTCGGCTAGTCTAATATACGATTCCCTTTTTCTTCTGTCTAATTAAGATGTTATAAATAACAGAATAAATGAAAACCTCTGGGTTATTCCCCTTACCCCTTTACAATTTTTCGGACTATAAGAAAGAGTTGAGAGTTGTTACAGCTGTTAGGAATTTCCATTCTAGGGGTAATGCACAGACCACGGTTGTCCTGTGGACATTGTGTGCTACTCAGAGAAGGCTTAAGACCATATATGCCGAGTGCTTTCACAACCCCGGGCACAATTAATCTCTTCATTATGGTAGCAATTAAGAGTGAAAAATCGTATCGTAATAAAATTGAGACTTAAAATAATTTTTATGTAACAAATGAATGAAGTAATATAATATAGTTTGGGAAGAAGATCCCTATTAAAACTGATATTTTCGTGTTGCCTGAAAAGAAAACATTAGGATGCCAGAAAGACTAGTCATTTCCATTTTTAAAAATGCATGTTCCTCATAATCAGTAGAGTCGTTGGTAGAAGCTGAAAAAGCAACCAGGGAGCAAATCTAATTCTTGGTTTGTGGAACAGTAGTAGAAGGAATAGCTGAATTCTCAGGTTAAAGTAATAACAAGATAATCTTATTTTAAAAGTTTGATGTTGACTGTTGTCCCTAGTCCGGCTCCATTGTGTCTTTGCATCCCCCTCTGTAGAAACAGTGACGTCTTGATTACCTCTGACTTTGGCCGTGTGTCCTGTTCAGGTGCCGCTCAAATAGGATGAGATGATGAGTTTGCTTTCTGCTGAGAGAATTGTTGGTGCCTTCCCCAGCATTTCCTTGTGACCGCAGTCCTTCCATGTTTAAGGGTCTAACTTGTTCTGCAGTGGACTTTATCAGTTTCATATCATGCCCGTATTGTACGGCCCTTCCAGTTTGGGAACAAGTCCAGTTGAATTAAAGTAAATGAATAAAGACATAGTAAACTTAGTGCAACTCCCTTAATATAATGCCCTGGTTGGGAGAGTGGAGGCTATCAGGAAGGGGATACATGTTTCATGCAGACATGGAGGTGTCTTCCACTTGTGTTGAAAGTCAGCTTGAAAGCTGAGCAACGATCAGTCACTCAGAATAGGAAAGGTGCATTTATTTATTCGTGTTTACTGATGGCTAATTTGTTCCTTTAAAAAAATCCCCCCCTCCTTTTTTTCTGGAGCTTTCACAGGACATGTCTAAGAGCATGAGACAAACACAGTCTTCTGTTTGCAGAGCATGGCCACCGTCTTATTTGGACACATTTTGATAGACAAGGACAGTAAGGTCCAAAGCATTTGGTTAAGTCACCATGATCTGAACCAGGGCTAGTTCTCGGCCTCCACTCGACAAACCTGGGGGCAATGTTGCCTTCAACTGCCTGCAGAGTTGCCTCAGGCTTTAGAATGTGGGAGGGTGAGTGTGTCCTTCAGTTGGTTCTCCTAATCACGGCAGATAGGCTTCCAGAAGCCCCGGCTCATTTGTGCGGAAGCGGCATAGGTTCGTAGGGTCGCCATGTTGAATGGACTTAGAGTTCCCGAAACAAACTTGTGTAGTGTTCCTAAGTTGGCATTCGTTTTTCATGCCGAATTCTTGACATCACTTTCATTGTCACAGGCTGACAGCGACAATGCACTGGAGAGCTGGCTTTTCTACATAACGTGTTTGTGTTCTTGTCCATCTACAGTCCTTGATATTTGATGAAGTTGACCTCTCAGATGCCAGTGTCGCTGAAGCAAGCACAAAAAACGCCAACAACAGCTTCACGGTACGGTTACGTTCAGTTCTCCGATCCAGGGCTGGAGCGCAGCGTTTCTGAAGCGCGTGCGGACGCTCAGTTCGGTCCTTACTGACACAGCTGACTCTGATAAATATGTTGTTACGTTCTAACGCCAAATATATGATCAGTTATTGGCTCAGGAAACTTGGGTATAAGTGTGTTTTTCAAATATATATCTTTGAGTATGTACATTTAAATGCGTTCTTACATTTCTCTCTTACACACACACACACACACACACACACACACACACACACACAGTGACTCATACTTGTAATCCTAGCACTTAGGAGGCTGAGGCAGGAAGATTGCCATGAATTCTAGGACAGCCTGGGCTACACGGTGATACTGTTTCAAACAAACAAGAATTGCTTTCCTTTTCACTTCTATTTATTTATTTTTTGTTTGTTTGTTTGTTTGTTTGTTTTGATATGGGGTTTCTCTGTGTAGCTCTGGCTGTCTGGAGACCAGGCTGGCCTTGCCTCACAGAGCTCTGCTTTCCTCTGCCTCCTAAGTGCTGGGCCACCATTGCCCGCTCCTTTTCCCGTTTTAATTTTTGTGTTTTTAAAGTTTTTACTTTCTTTAAATTAATTCTTGATTTAATTCTATTGTTCTTAAGTATTCAAAACCTTTGTTATTTGTCTATAGTCAAAACCCAGTATTTTCTTCTCGTGTTTCTACTGTAGTTGCTGTTCAGGCAGTTGCTGAGGTAATTATTCATCGGGGAACTCTTGAAGAAGGCCCCTCTGGTCCAGCCTCTTTTCTAATCAGAGGGTGCATTGCTTAAAGGTCTAGCTTGTTTGCCACCACCTACAAACTGTATCACCACTCAGAAGTGTTCTGTTCCTCCCAGTGCCCTGTTGTGGGTCTTCCACACCCTGCAGCCCCGCATGCACAGCCCCAGCCTCCCTGTCGCCCCTCCCCTCCTGATTTCTTTCTACCTGTGGTTGTTGAAATTCAACCACTTCTCCCATTTCTCTGCTTCTTTCATTTACAAAATCAAAATATAAGTTGACTTCCCTTTATATCACTGGCATTTATGATAAGCAGAGAAGTGCAGGAGAGGAGATGTTTATGTATATCTATGTCTCTTTGCATATGTAAATCTCCCTCTAGATTTTTCCTTAGTTCAGGGAGATCCCATGGTTCTTCCCACAGTGACACATTCCTTAGCTCCCCTGTGTTGTGTTCCTTCTGCTAAATCGTCACACTTACCCACACTTCCAGCCCTCACATCAGGATGTCTACTGACACTAGTGTCTGTCCCTCAGGTGCACAGAGCACTGGGAGACAGCCAGGTAAGCACACAGAGAGGACCATGCTAGAGGTGAGCGCTGGTACGCAGTTGAATGGGGAAGAGGAAGCGCATGAATTCAAATTTAGTCTTATTGATTTATGGGCATGTGGAATAATTCATAGTGTAAACAGTGCTTTGCCGCTCCTTCTCCCCAGGGAGAGTTTAGTTTGAGAAGAGGAAAGCCAAGAATAGAATCCTGGGAAAATGTTAAAATGTAAGGTTTGACCAGAGGACCGAGCAAGAGCATTCTTAAGTGAAGCAGTGGAGTCACCGGGCGGTGATGTCATAAGAACCCAGCGTCAGAGAGTTTCAAGACGGAAGTTGCTAAACTTCAGGTGCTGTGGAGAGGGCAGGTCCAGGAGGAATTGACAAGGTGACTTGGATTTGTGAACTCGGGGTTCATGTGGTCTCGTGGCTGCGAGTGGTTTCCAGGGCGGGGTGGTATCTGAGAGAGACAGCAGGCTCTTCCCTGAGGCTGGACTGTTGGGAGCGCAGACTGAGAAGAGCACAGATTGCGCAGAACGGCGTGGTTTTGACGTTCCTTTTTGCTTTGCTTCTGAGTGTGTTTCCATGAAGAACGGAGAGAGCAATTAGATGGGGTCAGATTGCTGAGTGAGGCGATGGGTGTAGGAACCAAGGCACGGTGTGAGCTCAGAGCCGAGGCGGAGGCAGTGTGGGCAGCGAGCATGTGTATTTCAAACCCAAATAGTACCATTTTTCTCAGTGAAACCAAAGACCGGGTTGTGTGGCTATGAGTGGGAGCTTGGGAAGGCTTAGACTAGCTTCTATGGAGATGGCATGGAAACCATTGGGGACCTGTAAACCATGTCCCCTGAAGACTGGCTTTAGCAATCCATTCGTCTGTGTTTATAGAATAGACTTTAAATTAATTGAGAGGAGACAAATAGATTGATCCAGAGCGGTGGTTTATAAGGCCTTGGGGCAGAGAGTTAAAGGTAATGCCGGATGCTTGAAACATCAGTATCTTATAGCCTCACCGCCTCTCTATGCTCGGTGCTTGAGGATAAAGCAACAGAAGGCAGAGCTAGCCTGGCTGTTATCTGAGCAGGCTCCGGTAAATGCACGCCAGGAACTTTGGAGCTTCCAAGGCTGAAATGTTGCTTACTATTCCGTCCTCCGAGTGAGGGTGGGCTCGGCAAAGACAGAAAGTACCTTGCGAGTCAGACCAGCCATTCACCTTCCTCTGGGAGTGAATAAAGGTTGATTCATTCATTCATTCATTCATTCATTTTTAACCCAAGAAAGCTAGGGATAATCTGAAGGAGGGCTTACAGTGTAAGGGTTAGAATGGTTTTAGGTAAAGCCTGAGGCTTAGAGCAGGTGCCAAAGCCTGCATTTGGAGGGATTATGGAAGCCACTTGTGTGACTATTGCTTGCCCCGCAACTGCATTTGTTGACCCCCGTTGTAGACAGAATTTGCCCTAGTCTGCTCTATGCCCAGGTAGGTGTATTTTTTATCATGACTCCCTGAGGGCCCGGGCTGTGTCTATCTTTGGGCTTTGTAGCAGCTTACTCAAAAGTGTTCCTTGGTTTGAATACACACGATCCAAGTGTCTGTCAGCGTGAGATGACTTGGAGCCTTGGATATGTTGTCGACCAGCTGTTCTTTCTGAAGTTTTGTGGGCTGGAGACGTAGAGGCCCAAAAGGTAGGCTGCTGGGCATTGCACTACGATAGGAACTTGCTAGAACTTTCCCCACTATAAATCGCAGCAAAAGGCATGTTTTTAAGTGGTAATTGACAATCCTCCTGCTTAAATATTTAAATACCCTGCCCTCCTAAATCATCTTGACAGCGACTGATGCTCCTTTAGCTGGTTCGTGTCAGAGGTTAATGGTGCCGTGTGATGGGATTGCGGTTGGAGACTAAGAGTGGCCAAATTCTGGTCTTCCAGAAGTCCCTGAGGGTAATATATTGACAAGAAATGGTGGTACATGGGCAATCTATAAATAGTTGGTGGAAAATGGAAAACTTAGGCTTTGCTTGAAGATGAATGCTCATCTCTGCTAAGATGGCTTGTATCGTGAGTGTCCTACAGAGCAGGGTCACTGCTGGCCCACCCTTGACACAGCTCAGGGTCTGTCTGAGTCCCACGGAGGCACATGGGCACCAAGACAGGAGAGCCAGGAGACTGTGGGTGTGGTTTAAGATCTGTGTACATTGTGCATAGTGTCTTATGTAGCCTCCCCTTCCACGCTTGCCTTTCCTATCCTTCTTACTATTGTACAAGTAAGTTAGGTTGGTGTTCGTTAAGTTATTTCTGGTGTAAATTCTGCTGTGATGGGCAGAGCTTACAGCTTAGGTTATAAAGTCAAAGAGCCTGTTCTAGCCCTGTTATGTGACGCTGGTCACATTAGCTAATCCCTGCAGCTCTGAATGAGGACCTGCTTCCTGGGACTCTCAATATCAAGTGAATGTGATAACCTATACAATACTTAGGGCAGTGATGGACCCATGCAGTTTAGTAGACTGTTATCCTGAATGTCGTGCCCATTGTTCCCCTCCCACAGCTGGCAGTGTGTGGCCCATTTCTGAAATGGGAACTTTGAAGATTATGGAGATGAATCCCATATTGAGGAAGCATTACATCCTGCCTTTTTTTTTTTTTTTTGAGAGAGAGGTATAAGGAAGATTTATGTCTACTTTTTATCCAATGTTAATGAGCATGGTTAGGAAAAGCAACCAATCAACAATGAGATGGTCATCACAGATAGGTAGGGTAGTGTTATTTCCTAATGAAGAGGGCTTTTTGGTGATTTAAACATGACCCCAGTCCCAGCTTCCAGAGATGTTCAGAGAAGTCTCTTTAAACTTTAATGAAGATTAAGATAAACTTCAGACAAATGAATTATCATTTTAAAGAGGCTGTATTGGTATTTAAATCTTCTTCTGAGATAACTGGCCAGGTTTTGCAACACTGGCCTGTAATCCCAGTTGAAGCTGAAGACTCTCCAGTTCAAGACTCAAGGCTGCCTGGCCGCAGGACAGTTCAAGGCTGATTAAACTGGGCAACTGAGGAGGACCTTGTATCACAATAAAATGTAAAATAAAAGTGGGGGGGACTGACTGTGAGAGAATGTCTTTTTGAGGATGTAGGGGGCCGTAGGCCCAATCCTTAGCATTGGGAACCCCTGACATAGGAGGGCAGAAGGCAGCATGGAGTTTTTGTTTGTGTGCTTCCTTGTTTAATTCAGAAGGGATGCAGAGATTTGTTGGTTAAGTTAGCCCATCCTTAGCATTTTTCAGTGTTCACTGAGCTGTGTGTTAAGTTCCATTGTTAGTGTAAGTCCACCTGGTCCCTTGCTGGGTCAAATGCAGGCGCCACGTGACCTGAAAGCTCTTGCGTCTAGATCCGAAAGAGTGCTGGAGCAGAGAGCCCTTACTGCCCAGGGTGACTGGCTCAAGCAGGTATGCTGGACGCCCCTTTAACACTACTTCCTTTCCATGGAGAATCACCTAGGAGACATACCTCTCTCCATAGGAGGGCTCTAACAGAGAGAGGTTTAACTAAGAGGGAGTGACCCACTGTAAACATGGGTGACATCATCCCCAGGCCCAGAGCCTAGACTGAACAAGAGAAGAAAAGCTAAAGAGTGTCAGCGGTCTCCTTTCTCCACCTCCTGGTCTGAGGTGATGGCGGGGCGGCCCACCCACCCGCTCCTGGGCGGCCC